CTCATGTATATAAGCCAGAGCTCTGAGACGCATAAGTCCCCCAGACTTATTCTCATCTCTGCTACGCCTATTCATATAGTGTCATCAGCGCCCACTTGCAAGGTGCTGCTTTACCTTGATCATCTTTGTGTCCATCCTTACATCGTCAACAGTCAGTAAGTGTTTGATCATAAGGTCATAGGCTTAGTTGGCGCTCTGCGTCCTAAGTTTGTGATACTTTGCCCATGGCCTATCATGCACATCATTCCATGTATCTTGTAGGAGAGTGAACTCATCGAGAAAACTGTAATGCAATGCCTCTGACCAATCCAACGTTGAGCATGGAGGATCAAGCACAACTGCAGCAGCATTGTATGCCTTGATGGCATTTTGTATGGCCTTGCAGGGACTTCGCAATGTGCATGTGAGCATGATATGCTGTGTAGATTTCCCAGTGAGAACCGATAAAGCAACACAACAGAACACACACCTGTCTGGGAGAGATTCAGGTTGTGCAGCTCAAACAGCTGCTGAACGACAAGCTGCTGTAGATTATCCAGTGCATGGTGATATGTGTGTGTCACAATGTACTTGGCTGTCTCAATATACTTGTCATCAGTGGGTTGCCAGTGCTGCAATATATTCATTTGCACTTCCATTGCCTGCAGGTCATGCGACAATGCACACTCACATTCCTCGAGATAGCGACATCTCATCTCTAGCTTTTGCATACATGAGGCTTCAGCATAGTAGTCAACAGTCCCAGTGATTGGTGAGGTGAACATGTAGTCAGATGGGATGGAAGTCAGGAAAGGGCCTGAACTCATCTTGATCTGAGTGCGTACACTCCGCCACTCCTGTAGCTTCTTAACATAAGCCACTGCATATATGTCCCAGAGTGGTGGCTCCTATCTGAGGGTCTCGAAGTAATGGTGCTCTTCTGCACACCATCACACGAGGTCTTCCTTCTTGACATTAAGTGATTGCATAGACTAAACGATGGCAATGGATTTCATCTCGATGATATTGAGGGCTTGAACATAGTTATTATAGATCATGGTGCTTAGGCTCACGTACTTATCATCATGACATTGATGGAAGTACTCATCGATGAAGACATGTCGATGGTAAGCAGAGGCATACTGAGTCACTGAGGCAAGACTGTTTGATGCACTGAACACATGTTCGAGAGTCTCACCATCTTCGCAACCTGTTCCCTCAATGATGTTGAGGTTATTCCTGGTCTAACATGCATGGTTATGCATGTACCCATGGAATGCATTAAGGATTATGCAGCACAGCAGCCGCTGCCATTCAGGACTGAGAGAGCTTTGCTTGATAGTTTCTTTGAAGCCACAACCGATGTCGTAGTGTCCCAAAGTTCGATCTTTGAGAATGTCGACCATCTTGGCTATAATTGCAAGCAGATACTTCACACTTCAGATCATATGGTTAAACTTAGCTCGTTGCAATGCAAAAAAATGACTCACAGTTCACCACTTCTCATCATGTCACAAATCCACAAGATAAAGCCATGATGGCATGCACTTGCAAAGATCCCAGTCTCCTCAAAATACCCCACATCTGCTTCTTATCCTCTGAAGCAGCAGCCTTCCAATTCTTTGTGCATGATGCAACTTCATCTGCACCATTGGTGGGATCACCCTCTTGATCCTCGTTATCACTTGTATCGCTGTTAATGTCATCCTGCATTGAGTTGCTTCGCTGCTTGCATGGATGGCCCTTGACCTCACCTGCGAAGCAGTTGATGAACTCATTTGATAGGTAGTAATCGCTCTCTTCGAAGACCCACATATCCCCTCAACAACATTCACCAATCTGTGTGATTCGCTTGAGTGAGTTGTTGCCATCCATGCAAATTATACGGCACCAATGCAGCTCAGGCTCACCTTCAAGCTATTTAATGGAGCATGTCAGAATCAAAGTATGAAGTAGCGGACTTATACATACCTCATATGTGCATGCTGGGCATGCATTGAGTACACGCCAATTAGGTGAGCCCCTCCTGCGAGCCTTCTCAATGAGCTTTCGAACACTGCGAAGGATTGCCAGGTATACTTCATAGGCATTGGTGACCGCATTCCAGTAATGGCAGCATAGAGGTATCTAGTATGCAAAGTGTCAGCCAACTGTGTCTAGAGCAATGCAAAGCCTACCTTATAGTAGTGACACAGGAGCTTTGTGCAGGCCTTTATGCTGAAGGAGGCTTTGAAAAGGCATATGCAACGAAGAAGCTCTGTCATCTTGAATGAAATGGTGAGGGAGGAAAGTCGTCAATTTGATCGTCAATGGAGGAGAGCTCAGCATCTACCCCTCAGCATCTTGAATGAAATGGTGAGGGAGGAAGTGACAGGTGTAGTGCTGAGGTAGCCACTAAGGACAAGAGCTTCTGCAACTGAGTGAATGTCTTCACAGCAGTGAATGTGAGTTGAAGTTGTGAGACTGTAGATGTTGAGCATGTCGAGGTTGAAGTTGTATGGTGATTCTACAGTGAAATGGCTATCACATGCAGGTGATGAGTCTCCTTGCCAGCGAAGATAGGCCTCGACAAGCTTGGGAATGAGAGAGCACCAGTTTTCATCCATACGATCCACATGATGCTGCCATGTCCATGCGTCTCGATACCAGCGACTCTTCTATCTATAATAAGAGGATATGAAGTTAATGACTGAGAATGATGTGATAATACAGAGACACACCGAGAGCTGATGATATCTCACACAGCATGGATGAATGAGTCATCCTCCTGAGCTGTATCCTTCCACTCATGGTCGTCCTCCCTTCTCATCTCCTGGATCTCCATCACTGCATCATCTAAGGCAGCAGCAGAGTCTACCTCAGGTGCGATGTCTCCTCTAATTTCTGCCAGTGCTTTGTGAGACTCAGGGCCAAATCCTGATGGAGGCTTAGTAAGATATGTTATATTACAATAGAAGGATGTACTCACCTGCCACCCTCATTGCCTGCCTCTCCTCTGCTTTGCGATTCTCCTCTGCAATGGCCTTGACCCCAAGCACACTGCCCTTCACATGGCTGGTTAGGCTTGAGGAGCCAGCACGTTGTGGTCAAATCATGGTGACGTGAACCTTCCGAGTAGGTTTGACAGCAGTTGTCATGGTGCATTGTGACTCCTGCCTAAGAAGGCAAGGAGCTGGCTGCAAGGTGCAGCCTGTGTCCTGTGACCTATAATCTGTGTTGTATGGTGATATACAAGATGCAGAAAGGGGCTCAAAGGGCTCTTAGCCTTCTAACACACACGCAAGGAGGTGGTGGCTGTTAGGCCTGCATAAGCATGTATAAAATAGGTGAATAGAACTGGGGATACCCAGTTCCTCATAGGTGCTTATATACATGTATGGCAGAGCCCCTGGCACTTGTGCTACTATGGGACCTCTGGTATCTACATGTGAACATAATGTCAGAATCAGTAATGGTTCTGGTCTCGCCATGACAACTACCTACTATTGGTTGTGAGGTTGTCCAATGAGATAATTGTATAACATGGTGTCACCTTGTCGGTGACTGAAGTGGGACCACTATTGAGTGGCCAATAGGAGGTCTACTACTTACTAAGATGCCTCAGTGTCACGTGTGGTAGCTGAGCCTTTGCGGGCTTCAGTGATCGTAGTTGGGTGCTAGTTTAGGTCACATGACTGGACGTGTCGTGGTGGATCATAAATGGCTCTCTGTGTCGTCTTGCCTTGTGTTATGTCTAAGGTTTATATCTTGGCGTGGTGCCAAAGGTATATTGTAGTGGAAAAACTGTGACATCACCCCCCTCTCAGGTTTACACTCCGGGTAAACCATCAGATTTTGTTGGGTGTTTGTAGGTTGGCAAGTGTGTGGGCTGTGTACATAGTGATGTGTGTAATAGTTTAGTGGACATATTTAGGTCCTTGGGCACTCGAAGCTGCCAGTTGATCCCTTTATGCTTCTAATTCTGTGTAGGTGATTGGCTTGTGGTTCAACTCGTCATCGCCTTATATCTTTTCTCTTTATAGAACTAGGCTTGTAGATAAAACAGTTTAATGACATTGTTTAGGTCATGTGGCACTCAAAGCTGCCTGATAAAATAGTTTAACGACATACTCAGGTCGTGATGCTTGCAGTTTAATGACTTGTGCTAGGTTGCAAAAGATGCATGAATTTGTAATGCAAAAAGATGCTGTTTTTGGCCACAGCATTGACCCTTTGATATCATTCTCCAGATACCAGATTATCCTGGTCTTCTGTCTTCAGTCATGACTTCGTGCTTCTTTGCTATGGCTTGTTGCATAGGATATTACTTAATCCATGACAGATTCCTGGTTACCCAAGGAATCGAACCCACGCACACAGTATCTTGTGAGATGATCGGGTCCTGATGTATCAGATTGCCATGGCTTAACACCTAAGCCACTTGAGCAGGTAAGATATCTAGTTTGAAACTCGACCAGTATATGCTCTTTATTACATAATTGAGTGGCGTATGTCTGAGTGGTTGAAGGTATGACATATTTTGATTTAATTGACTAATCATAATCGAAACTTGATCTGTGATTGAGTCGAGATAGACTTTCTGATTGATCATAACCTTGAATGACGTCATTGTGTTGACACTCATAGCTGTCATAGTGGTGCAGTTTAGTTGACTTGTCCAGGTCCAGTGGCACTCAAAGCTGCCAGAATAGTATCGTATACACTTGTAGTGGCATGGAAGGTGTCTTCAATGTGCCTTGTAGTGTATGGTCTGTTACCAGCTGCTCTGTGGTCTGGGAGTCTGATGCTTCATTGCAAGTTTTCTCCACATAGTCATGAAAAATTGCAATGTATGGTAATCTTGTTGCCAAAAAAGATATCACCCTTTCCTTTAGTGGTCTTGTAGTGAATAGTAATTGTCAGGCTGGCCACTTTGCATGTTTGAAAATGGTGCCTTGATGCAATGGGGGCTCCAGTCCCTTGCTGGTAGCAGTAGTCTCTTTATCTGCTCCATGGTGACATTACTTTTGGTGAAAAAATGTTATGCTGCGCTTTTTTTGTAATTGCACCTGGCTTTGCCTAGTTCTTTGGGGATGGGGATAGTGGTAACGCTCCGCTCCACTGCTAGGGAAGACCTTGCATATCACCAGAGAGCAGTTCCTCGCTTGTGTGTTTCGCTTCACTTACACACGTTGTATCCCCTATTACTCCACCCTCCACTGGCCTCGTTCTGAGAGCCAAGCATGGAGCATGAATGCATAGCAAGAGAAACAAGATTTGGTGTTTGCACAAAATAAGGGTGAGTGGGTGGGAGTGAAATTTTTCATTAGACCAAGTTGGAATGATGTGGTAAATGAAGTCCATTTGACAGAAATCACGCTGTATGCGCTATCTTGGTGTGATTCTGAGACTGATCAATGGCTGTGGGTCCCCCCGTCTGGTGTAGTACTATTTTTTCTCTTTATTGAAGTCTTCCTGGTGTTATTCTTCCTTGTATTCAGATTGTTGGATCTTAATTCCTCTCACAGTTAATAGTCACATGACTATCGTGCGCTTGGATGCTGTCAACAATTTGTTACATTTTGAATACTGGCTCATTGCTGAAAGGTGCTTCATGGTGTGAATAATAATGGTGGTTGACTGAACCATCCATGGAAGTGATGGGATCTCATATCCTAGATAGGAGTGCCATGCACAAGGTCTTATGTTTCCAGTAATGGGAATTGCCTGTTATGGTATGCATGTTGCCTTTATAGGTCATGTGAAATTGCCTTTTTTAGGTCATGCATGTGGTGGTGGGTGTGATGCAAATGATATGTGCTGTCTGGTACTTGTAATATTGCTTTATTATTTTATGTACTGGTGCGCCTTTCGCTCGTGTAATATTCTATATTGCTACATAGGTTACCGGCCTAGTGTAGCATTGTAAATCTACTTTGTAAATATGTGACCCCCCCTCAGGCGTTCTTCAGGGATGGATGTGGCTTTATGGCTGTTCACCCTCATGGAGGTGTAAAGGAAGCATGCATGCGCTGTTGCCTTATTGAAGGCAGGGAGCAGCTGACAGCAAGGTAGACGTTGATGTGGAATATATAGTATCATGTTAAAAAAGGTGCACCCCAACACCTGAGTTTCTTGGGCTGAAAATACCAGTCCCGCATTGGGTACTTTGGCATAAAATTGGGCAGTTTATGGATGTTGTCTAGGTTCAGTAAAAGCCAGTCCCTCAAAGGGTACTTTGACTGAAAATGTGCCTGGCCTGCATTGGGTCCTCAGGTCATCCCGCAAGCAGCACGTTGCTGAGTGCAGTCTGGAGTTCTATTCAAATGTCACAGCACATTGTGACTTCTGCCTAAGAAGGCAAGGAGCTGGCTGCAAGGTGCAGCCTGCATCCTGTGACCCATAATTCATGTTGTATGGTGATATACAAGATGCAGAAAGGGGCTCAAAGGGCCCTCAGCCTTATAACACATAAAAGGAGATGGTGGCTGTTAGGCCACATAAGCATGTATAAAATAGGTGAATAGAACTGGGGATACCCAGTTCCTCATAGGTGCTTATATACATATATGGCAGAGCCCCTGGCACTTGTGCTACTATGAGACCTCTGGTAGCTACATGTGAATATAATGTCAGAACCAGTAATGGTTCTGGTCTCGCCATGACAACTACCTACTATTGGTTGTGAGGTTGTCCAATGAGATAATTGTATAACATGGTGCCACCTTGTCGGTGACTGAAGTGGGACCACTATTGAGTGGCCAATAGGATGTCTACTACTTACTAAGATGCCTCAGTGTCATGTGTGGTAGCTGAGCCTTTGCAGGCTTTAGTGATCATAGTTAGATGCTAGTTTAGAGATCACGTGCTAGGGGCGCTTGTGTGGGTGCTTGTCTAGGTCACATGACTGGACATGTCATGGTAGATCATAAATGGCTCCCTGTGTCATCTTGTCTTGTGTTATGTCTAAGGTTTATACCTTGGCATGGTGTCAAAGGTATATTGTAGTGGGAAAACCATGACAGCAGTCATCGGAGAATGAAGCAGATAGAGGGCACGTATAGCATAGTAAAGCTATGGGGGGAGGTCTTGGCCTTGGCATACACATACACGTCAGGCACATCACTCACGTGACCTCGTTTGATGAGCTTTCATCACTATGAGCTGCAGCGAGAATGAGCAGCCTATGCTCACTCTCAATCGTGAGTGCATGGAAAAATTTAATAGCTTATATACTGGACTGGATGATCAAAGTGGAAGCAACTTGATGGAAACTTAATCTGAGTTGTTTCTGCAACAGGAAGCTCATATTGGGCTCATAATGCAGTGCGCTTCACTTACAATATGCGATAGAATTCTATACAAAAAAACAAAAGAAAATGGCTGAAAAGTTGTCTGTACAGAGCAAAAAGAGCGTCGTCATCATCAGTGGTGGCATGCATGCAAGCTGACACAGCAAGTACCAGGTTCTGACACAGCCTGAAAGTGAAGACACTGGAGGAGTGGCCACCAGCTCAATCAGGAATGAGCATAACTTTATCGGTATCTGATCACTCAGCCACCTATGGTCATTTACATTACATAAGCAAGGGAATTTCCACGTACTTTAACAGAAAAAAGTGATGGTATCTATGGTGATACTGGCGATGGGGGAAGACTGCACCTTCAGGCCTGGTTAGGCTGCTGAGCCCAGGTCACACAGCAACCTAACTAGGCCAGATAAGCATGAGGTCCAGGTGGATGTGATCATTCTATGTCGGCATCTTATAATGAGCACATGATTTTATAGCATTATGAATGCAGCACTAAGTTAGTGCTATACTAATTAGGCTGGTTTTACACAACTGCAACACAAATACAATGCCAGTACTAACATCAGCAAAAAGTGGGCCACCATATATATGAATGACAAGATATCCATTGCATATCATAATTTTGTGTAATTCCTAGACACAAATTCACCCTAAAGAAAGTAACAATCTGTGGGTATGAGAAATGAGTAAAAAACTGCGGATTTCCTTTGACTTTTCACTGCTATGACACCCTATCATTTTTGAGTTAATATAGGCAGCTTGACTTGAATTAATGCTCAGGAAAGGTGCAAAATGAGCCCTTTCCAAATTCCTTTTTCAAAATTATTCACTTGACATGAAAGACT